TACACCTCCTTCCCCATCGCGATCTTTTTCCTCCTCCTCTCCTCCTCCTCCTCCTCCTCTTCCTCCTTCCCCATCGCCATCTTCTTCCTCCTCCTCCCCATCGCCATTTCCCCCCTTCTCCTGTTGCCGTTCGTTTTTTTTGTTTAGCGCCGTGTGCAATGAATCTTTTCCGAAACCTTTTTCGAAACCTTTTCTGAAACCTTTTCTGTCAATGAGGTATGTATGGTGATACCTTTTTTGAAGTTTTTTCTCTCTTTTTCTTTTTGTCTTCAACTTTTTGGGCTGCACATCTAGAACTTACCCAGACAGAACTCAGGAAGGCAAGCAGTGCATATTGTGAGTTTATTCTCAAATTGTGGCTGAAAGGTTTTCAGCACCGGCGGCTCCAACCCGTCTTGCTTATTGGCTGGATATCATTCAACTCTTTTTTTTTCTTTTTCTTTTCTTTTCTGTTTTCAATGAGGGGGAAAGGGAAAAGGAGAAGCAAAAGAGTTATCAGCTTGTCCTGGCCAGGGCTTCACTCGGATGGATTTCACCGTAGTTTTGATCAAATACATTACGTTAGTGGGGATACGTTCGGGAAAAGGACTGGTAGTGCAAGCATGTCACAAGAGTAGAGATCTAGACAAACGTGTCATATTTGCGTCTTCACGGTCTTTCGAGGAGCGTGGACAAGTTTGTGCCAAAGGTGTGTGTGTGTGTGTGTGTGTGTGTGTGTGAGCGGAACCGTAATGATGGAGTCTCCCTCTGTGTGTGTGTGTGTGTGTGTGTGTGTGTGTGTGTGTGTGTGCATGTGTGTGTGTGTGTGTGTGAGCGTTGTCTTATGGGAACCGTAATGCTGAACGCGCATATTGGAGCATCTCCTGGGAGGCAAAAGCCAGAGATGAAACCCAGCAGCGCGTGTTAGGATCATTGACAGCGTGGCAATCTCTCTCTCTCTCTCTCTCTCTCTCTCTCTCTCTCTCTCTCACACACACACACACACACACACACACACACACACACACACACATTTCCATCGCGATGTTCCCCTCCTCCTCCCATCGCGATGTTCCCTTCCTCCTCCTCCCATCGCGATGTTTTCCTCCTCCTCCTCCGCCATCGCCATTTTCCTCCTTCTCCTTGTCCTCCTCTTCCTCCTTCCCCATCGCCATTTTCTCCCCCCACCTTTTTTTTTTCAACATTATTATACAAATCGCTTGATTGGCACCTCGTTTGTTTCACATGTGTTCGCACACGACTAGTGTATTGATGAGTCCAGGTGGGGAGAGAATCGCGTTTCTCCCCCACCTTTTTTTTCGTATTCTGGTGAAAATGGCTTGATTGGCACTACGCAGCGACACGTCGCCTACAGGTTAGCATCGTGCAACCAACCTGCGCGCCTACATCTCTGTTCCAGAACATAAAGTGGCCAGAACCTGACGGGACCGAGGTCGCCATTTCGGCTCTTTCCAGATGGCCTCCAAAGGTAAGTAAAGCGCCAACGTTTGTGTGCATGTTCTTTCTTTCATTTTGGGTCATCCTAGATGGCTCGTTCAGACAATCAGGTAATCTGCCAGCACAACATTTTTGTTAAATGTTGTTTTTTTTTTTAAACGCTGATGATGTATCGCCATTTTTGAAATGTCTGTGCCTCTGCAACATGATGCATGTCTGTCCGAGTGTCTGTCTGAGTGTCTGTCTCTCTGTGTGTTTGTCTCTCTATGTGTCTGTCTGTGTGTCTGTCTGAGTGTCTGTCTCTCTATGTGTCTCTCTGTGCCTCTGCAACACGATGCATGTCCGTTCGTCTCTCTGTGTGTCTGTCTGCGTGTCTGTCTCTCTGTATATCTGTCGGTGTTCACCGTCACGGTGCCCCTCTCTCTCTCTCTCTCTCTCTCTCTCTCTCTCTCTCTCTCTCTCTCTC